CATACCCTGTTCTTGAAGAGAAATGGCTCTTTGGTGACCTTGATAGTTTATGTTGATGATATTGTGGTCACGGGTAATGACACTCAAGAGGCTAGTAAACTAAAAAGATTTCTCAACTCTGAATTTGAGATCAAGGATTCGGGAGATCTTCGGTATTTTTTGGGCATATTGAAGTTGCTAGATCTAAGGATGGTATCTTCATTTCTCAGCGTAAATATGTCATTGACCTCCTTGCCGAGACTGGTAAACTTTGAGCTAAACCAATCTCCACTCCTATTGATCCTAATCATAAGCTTTCTGTTAAAGATGGTGAGCTTTTATTTGATAAGGGGGTGTTTCAGAGACTGCTTGGGAAGTTGTTATATCTTTGCATGACTCGGCCAGATATTTCCTATGCAGTAAGCGTTATTAGTCAATTTATATATTTGTATGACTCGGCCAGAACTTAATAAAAACTGAATTGATGGATGAATGCAACTGGGGTTTAGATTTCATTAAATCAATGTCACATAATTACCTATTTAATCGAACTCAAGACCGGAATTACCCTAAGGTATATTAAAGTTATTTGCATGTGATGGTGGATTTCCCTAAATTAATTAATAAGCTTTCTCAAGTCATATTAATCCTTTATTAATCCAATTCTACCATCAAATTTCTAAGTTGTTGTGTCAAAAGGAAAAAATAAGCATTAATTTCTTTGGAAACCTCTAATCGTAGAAGGGGATTTGACTCACTAACCTTCATTGATTCCCACACATGTGCTAATCATCTTTCGATATCATAGTCTATAATGCGATTTTTATTGCCTAGGGATCTAATTCATAACAATCCTTTGGTCAGTCATGCATGAATCATCAAATCATTAAATGATTGGCCAATTATTTTAAAGCATTAAGCATAGCAATAAAAATTCCTCGTGCAAATAATAAAGGTCTTGAATTGAATTAAACAAATAACTATATAATCTTAAGATCAAAATCCATCTAAACCCTAGCTAAGAGAATTTAGCTAGATATCATTAAATTCAACATACTCAAGAAATCTAAAGGGGAAACACAGCAAGAACACATTAAAGAATGAATAGAGTAACAAGAAAACTTTAGCCTTTGAAGGTAGAAGACAAGTGAAGCAACTAAGCCTTTCTCCCTCTTGAATTCAGATTCTTCCTCTCCTTCTCTAGCGTGCTGAAATTGCTTCCTCTTCTCTTCTAATGTGCTGAGACTGCTTCCTCTTCTCTTCTCTGCTGAATTCTCTTTAAGGATGTGCTCCCTTGCCTTGAGTCTATGGTCATTTTTATAGTGCAGCCTCCCTTCAATTGCTTCTCAATGCAGACTCCTAATTCAACACAAATTAGGTCTCTTAGTCTTTATTTCAGTTGAATTCCTATCTCTTCTGCACTGCCAACTGCCAGACCCGAAACTTGTAGCTCGAATTGCACTTGGTTGGCGGCGGAGTTAGGTTAAGTGATAAACACAAGAATTGTATCCTTATCTCTTAGCTTTAATTAGCCGTTTGAATCACCTCAATCCGAGTTGTAGGCAGAAAGTTATGCTCAAAATATGGGAACTATATCAAAACAGGAAATTTCCCGATTTTTGTGCATATATATGAAATCCGATTTCAATGGATTCATAAAAGATGAAGAAAATTCCTCCCCTTTGAAGCCATTTAGGTCGGAAATCCAGCATTTCAGCATTTCTACTGACATATTGATGATCACCTTTCAGGGTTTACTTTGTCATAAAAAGTCCTGTCATTCCTCTCCTGCCAAATAGCCCATAAGACTGCAAGAGGCACTGTTGCCCAACATTTCCTTCCTGTCTTTGTCACACCTTGTATTTTCCACCCTGCCAAGAGACTCTTCACTGAATCTGGGCAGCACCAATACACTGGAACTGCTTTGAAAAAGTGGAGCCAAATCCTATAAGAGAACTTGCAAAACAGAAAAGGTGATTTAGAGTTCAGTCTCCCAGTTGCACAGTGGGCATAATGATCAGATAGGCCTACTCCTTTTCTTACAAGCATCTCCTTGGACATTTCTTCCAAGCTGCTATGCACACAAAAAATTTCACCTTTGATGGTGCTTCTGTGCTCCAAATGGCCTGAGCTGGAAAAGATTGATATGACCCACCCATCAATGCGAGATAAAGGATTTAACTGAAAACAGACCTGATTTAATCCAGCAAAGGTTCATTGCCTGCTCCATTTTAGCATCAGAAAAGAACAGTGTATCATCAGCAAATTGAAGTAATCGCAGTACCATTGTTACTTCAAAGCCTTCAAGGCAACCTTCCTCAGTGGCTCTTGTTGTCGATCTGCGTAGGCCTTCCAACACTACGAGGAACAAGAGTGGAGACAAGGGATGACCTTGCCTCAATCCCCTTGAACCGTTAAAGTTACCTCTCTGGACCATTTATGTATTCTGCCCAATACCCAAGAAGGCCCCCGATTAATATGGTTGTATGCCTTTTCCAAGTCAACTTTGCATGCCAAGACTTTCCTACCGTTTCTTGTGCACAAAATCTCCTTGGTGTATGGAATGGTGGTGTCTATTACCTTCTCCAACCTTGAAGCAAGCAACTTGGCTAAAATTTTGTACACATACCAATCAAACTAATAGGCTGGAAGTCCTTCAATTCTGGTGTTCCTTTCTTTGGACTCAAAGAAATGAGTGTGGCATTTAGACTCCGATCCAAGGTTGCTTTCTCATGGAATTCCTCTAGAAACTTCATCATATTCAATTTTAAAATATCTCAGAACCTCTTGAAGAAAAAGTATGGTAAAGCCATCTGGCCCCAGGGATTTCTCACTATCCATCTCTTCCAATGCCCTTTTTTTATCAGAAACACAGAAAAGATTCATTAATTAAAAATTGATGTACAACAAGAATCTGTGGGCGGACAATAAGTCCAAAATATCCCACTAATTACATCACAGCCCCAAAGGTAACCCAAAAGAAATCCACTAACTACAACAAAGCCCAAAACATAGATGGTCTTTGAAATCCTTGCTTAGCTAGACCATCAGCCATGCTATTAGCTGACCTTCTAATCCACCTTATTTGAATCACCATGTCTTTAGAAGCTTGCTTGAAACGCCTGAGTTCATTTCTTAACTGCCAAATTATTCCTTCCCCTTTCTTCAGCCAGTTTACCACAATTTTTGAGTCCCCTTCAATAATCAACCCTCCATTTCTTTAGCTTTTTCAACACCATATACTGCTGCCTTCATTTCTGAACTCACCACATCCCCATGCTGAATAGGACCTGAGAACATGGCTAACATATTTCCATTTTCATCCCTTATTACCCAACCAATGCCTTCCTTACCTCTTCTCTCTTGCTCTGCACAAATCTACCATTGATTTCTAACTTCTGAATTATATTGGTTCTTCTTGCATTGTCACCCTTGTGGAAGAAAGAAGTGTCACTGTCCCCAGCCTTTAACCACTTCATCTTGGCTTTCTGCCTCCATTTTAGTTCATCTTGGTAGGCTAAGAAATCGTAATCATTCTTGGCCAAAATTCTCCTCTTCCTACAAGACTCATCCTACTCTCTCTTTTCCTCCTGATTATCAATCCCTGCTTTTCTTTTGGACATTCTGACTTGTGACCATTGGCCTTTTTAGCTTGCTCTACTTGCGACATCTTTATCTTAGCCTTCAGCCATTGTAGCTTCTTTTTTTTTGATAGGTGCCATTGTAGCTTCTTTCTCGACACAAAATTTGCAGACTACTGAAACTGAACTTCAGCCCACCACTTGTGAACATTTGAAATAAAATCCTCCTTTTATTGAATAGTTGCAGTTTATATCAACTTAAAAATGAGATTGCATCAATATCTTATATTTAGAACATCTCTCTTTTTTGTTGTTGTGCCATTATTGCCCAGGCATCACTTGTCAGGACATCAACCAAGGTGGCCAAAATGACTAGTCATCACCTTGTCACATTGATATTATGTGGAAATATGTTGCTGTTCAAACTTCTAACTTGAAAACATATAAACCAGCATTAGAATAAAAAAGAACATTCTTTCTTCTTCTCCAAACTTCTCCCATCAGAATTGGGGGTTCTATTAAGAGAACAATGGGAAATGAGGAATATGTTTTCTGTACACAAGCATATGCACAGATACTTGGGGTGGAGTGGGGGTCTTTGTCTGAAAGACAAAGAATGAGGATGAAGAAAAAGATCAGGTCAGGTATAAATTAATACAGACCTTTTAGACTGCTATTGCATTTTCTTCTTCATTCTTCAAATGCCACTGACCGTTTTGTTCTTCTTTTCGATCCCTAATAATAAAAGTTCTCCTTTCTTTTGTTTTATATGTGGTATTGTCTTTTGCATATAAACTGATACTCTATATTCTCACTTAACACCTAGGTTACCACCAAGAAACAAAAGTGTGTATCTTGGGCTCCAAACACCTAGGCATGGCACAGCTAGGTGTTAATAGAGCACTTTGTCGTAGGCAATGTCTAGATAATGTTTCTCTTGTCCATGCTTGCGCATGTGCATGTACTTTGAGCTCTTGATGCAAAAACCTTTTCTAGTCTCACTCAAAATGGTGAGCTGCACGTAGTTATATATAGTTAAGAAGAAAACATATTCAAGAATGCAATTTTCTTGGGTGGTGTAGGAATGATTCTCTATAGATAGGTTAAGAAAGTAGATACTAGACAGTAGTTACACATTTACAATCTAGGGATGACATGATTCCTTTTATGAAGATAGAGGGGAGGGAAGAGTAAAGAACTTAGAGATCTTAAAAAAATGCTTTGGAAATATATCTAATCTGAAAATCAGTCTGACAAGTGCTGTATTGTTGGTATCAACATGAGAACAGAGGTAGAAAGCCATACCTTAATCATGAATTATTCTGTGAAGTAATGGCCAATCAGGTATTTGGGTCTCCACCAGGAGGCAACCCAAAGTCTGGCAGATTTTGGAACCCTCTCCAGAGGTCCCTCACATAGCTTCTCTGTGTAACTTGGCAGGTGGATTACTCGGGATTTATGACAATAAACCCTCAAAGGTTTGGGCAAAAATATGTGGGGAAGGTACCTCCATTTCATCTTTCACCAAATGGGAATTCATACATCTGTTTCTTGAGTATCACCATATTTCTATTAAATCCATTGTTGTTTCTGGAATATCTTTCACCATATGTTTTTTGATTGTTCTTGGATTATGCAGGTTGCAAATCCACAAGACATTCTTATCTTCTCAAAGACCACCAAAAAGAATCAACCTCTTGGAGGTAGAGTCCAGTAGCTGCTGGTGATCAGTCATTCAGTCTACTGTTTGAATCCTTGACTATGATTGTATTAAATGCTATATCTTGTATGACTATGTTCATAAACAGAACTTTGCTTTTATATTGTGAATATTTAACTTTCATTAACTAACAAAATAATCTGAAGTGATTGCATGATCCTTAACATTCCTTTTTTTTAATCATTATCATTGCCTAAGCCTTTTCCTAACTATTTGGGGTCAGCTACATGATCCCTGTTTCACCAATTTGTTCTGTTTAGTGCCATATCCATTGTTAAATTCTGGGCACCTAAATCATTTCTTAATACTTTCACGCAAATCCTTTTTGGTCTGTACCTAACTCTTCTATCCCCTTCAACTTGTAAAACATCACCTTTTTCTAAGTGCTGTGAAAGGTCTTCTATGCTTTGACCAAACCTAGGATGCAAACGGAGGTTGGATTCGAATCCGATCCGATACATTGTAGATCCAATCCGATCCGATTGGATATCATAAATACCGATTTGAATTCGAATTCGGTCAGGATGTCAGATATCTGAATCTGATCCATCCAATTTATTTATTTTTAAATAATAAATTATTAAAACGAAAAGAAAATATAACAGTTTAAATAAAGAATTACAAAAAAATTACAAAAATGCAATATAAATAACACGTGCATATATATTATAAATAAATAAATAAATAAATAAATAACATATATTGGATTGGATCCTTTTTTTGGATCGGAAAGGGGCAACCCAAATATGGCGATTCGATCCAACCTGAAATTCTGAAATAGGGATATCCAAATCCGACATTATAGGATCAGACTTTGGATCATGATCCAATCCATTTGCAGCACCCCTAACCAAACCATCTCAATCTACTTTCTTTCGTTTTATCATTTATTGGAGATACTCCTAGGTTCCTTCGTATGACTTCATTTCTAACTCTGCCCTTTCTAGTTTTATCACTCATCCATCTAAGCATATTACATTTCTGCTACATTTTTTTGGACATGCTGTTTCTTAACTGCCCAACACTCTGCTCTATAAAACAGAGCTGGCCTTGACTGTTTTATAGAGTTTTCCTTTAGCCAAAGTGGTATTCACTTATCACATAAGACTTTGGATGCACCTCTCCAAATTTCCCATCTTGTTCTAATTCTATGGGCAGCATCCTCCTCAATTTCTCATTTGGTGTATGTGCATTTGTTGCATGTTTGACTTTGATATGATGGGATAACCGATAACCTTAGTTTCTTTGTTGGACTGTAGAGAAGATCGACGATTCTGAAAGGCTTCGCCCAGAAGAACTGAACCAACAAAATATAGAGGCCTTAGTTGCTGAAAGTAATTTGGTACTTTATGTTCAATTTTAACCTTCCTGTTATAAGTGTAGTGCTGTTATGTTTTTCACTTTTTGTATGCCTATACACTTATACAGTGAAGCTTTTATCTTGCAACAAACTTTTGTTTGATATATTTTTGAGTTAAATGGTTTCTACTGGTAAGTTATTCAAGAATACGTGGAATTTTCATACCAAAATAATCTTCAACAAGGCCTTATGTTACTTGTGCTATGAACTAATGAACATAACTATATTTGGTTCTTTGGTGGGGGCTTTCAAGTTGAGAATGCAATTGTTTGATTGGCCTTCAAATTAGTAGCTACTAAAGCAGAGAACCCTTTCCTATCTCTCTGTGGTACAACTACAATCTGGACAAAGTATATTAAAGCCTATTCTGTATACAAGCCGGATATAACTTCTAACTTAAAACCTTGTTTCTCTTAGCATAGAAGTAATGTTGGTTTTATATTGCTGCATGTTGTTAATTTTTTTTACCACATGCAATTGTTGATTACTTGTCTCATTTTTTATTTGTGTTCTCTAGAGATGATTAAATCAGATGAAGGAAATCTCTGCATGCATTTGAATTTACTATTGTGATTTCCCTTTTCAATTACTGGATTTAATGGAGAATGTCCAAACAGTTTCTTATAGATTGTAGTTATAAGCTGATTTGATACAGTGAAAAACCTTACTTTTCAGAGTTTGAAGTGCTTTTTTCTTGTTTTGTAGTTATGGCCCTGTTTCTTTCCTATTTTATAATGGGACCCATTATGTCCGACTTTTTTGCAGAAAATGGAGATCCTTCCAGTTAACGATTTGGATGTGGCATTGCATGATTTTGTTAACAAGGATGACAAAATGGCTTTTTACACTTGCGTGCAATACAATCTTGAAGAAACTCGTGTAACATTCTTTTGTGCTCAAATTTCTCTAGAAGCATTAAAGATAGTCTTGGCTTGTTTGGAGATAAACAAGTTCTCTCTTGTTTTCTCAAATTCTGACTATGGTTTCTTTTTCTTGCTTTTATAGAACAAAATCTCTCGGGAGTCAGATACTCTGAAGTCTGAGGATGAAGATTTGATTGTTAAAGTTGGAGAGTACATGCAGGCAGGGAGTTTATCTTATCACATCTTGTTATTTCATGTTTTAGATAAGATACAGCTCCCTTAATGGTCACCAAGCAATTTTTTGGGTGCAGGAACGTGTAAAGGAAAGGTCAGCTCGCTCTCAAGAAGGCACACGGTCCACATCAATTTCGCAGTCATTAGAGGTTATCTTACTAATTTTGGTTTGAGTTTTTTACAGAAGTTTGTATGAAGTATCTTTTATTCTTTTTTTGGTTGTCCAATGTATATGCAACATATGCACTCTTATCTTCTATATTCATTTTCCATATAGGGTTTCAGGGGTAAAAGTAAAGCAGGATTTGGAAGTCAAGTTGCATTTAGTGATGATGAAGATGCTACACAGATGCCCTCAATCTCTCACTCTGCTGTCAGAGGTAAAAAACAATCATCTGCAGTTTCTGAAACTGGTAGGGGCAAAGCTTCTACAAGAGGCAGGGGCAGGGGCAGAGGCAGAGGTTCTGGTAGCTTAAAACAAACAACTCTTGATGCAACTATGGGAATCCGCTCATCTGTGAGGTCAGCCTGTGGTCTGATAATTTCCCTTGCAAAGTAATTTGAGACAGTTAATTTGTTTAGATAAAGTGGGTATTCTTAAGAATCTCAACCTTGTTCTTCTGTAGAATAAATAAAGTCTTGTAAAGTTATCATTTCATGATATTTTGATGTTTTTATGGATTAAAGTACTTTTGTTAATCAACCTTATAGAGAGATTTTCTAAGAATTTTCTTCAAACATGTCAGGAAAAATAATAAAATTTAAGACCTTCAAAGAATTTCCCTTGCTTATTCCTTTTTTAACTCTTAAAGATAAATTTCATGGATTAGTAGTGTTTGATCTTAAGGATGAGATCTATGCTTCATTCTTTTTAGGACAGAGGAATTACTGTTTTGCCCTCAGTGCATTCTGGATAGAGGGGAATTGTAAAACAGAACTGGTTTTGCCAACACCTAACGAGTATTGTTTTGAATTCATAATTTCATATTCCTCCTTTCCAGGTGGCTTGTTCCTAGGGCTGTTTCATCCACTATGGCAATCACTTTGCCCATATGCATTTATGGCATTAGTTGAAAGATTCTAGTGGTTTCTTTAATTATTTTGCATTGAAAAATAAAACTATGTAGAATCTTGACAAAAAAAAAAAAAGATTACACCCATGGTGGTGTACAAAACCCTAGCTTATTAAAAAAAATTAACTGCATACCTTGTGAAAATCGATTTGCACAGTATACTGTCAAGAAATCTGCTTTGGTTCTCTCATACAGCCTCGCATTTTTTTTTGGAAAGGTAGCTTTCATTCAAAAAAGAGGGGAAGGATGTACATGAGATGTAGACAAGAAATCAGGGCTACAAACAAAATGAAACACACCTAAAGCCCACTCAAGAAATAGGAAACGTATTTGCACTATACATCAAATTCCTTCCCAGCCCACTTTTAACTAAAGCATCTTCCATTACATTGAGATTCCTAGGAATCCATCTGAAACAACAGCGGAGGTACTCAGAAAGATAAAAAATTTCTTGCAAGAAATGGGCAATCCTCCAGGGGCCTTCACTTTTCTTTTGGCCCATCCAATGGTGATTCTAGAATCTCCTTCCACCTGTAATGACTCACCCTGAAGAGCTCTAGCAGCTCGAAGTCCAACCAAAAGAGCTTGAACCCAAGAAGTAACCCCCTCTGACAGCCTCACAATTGTTTGGCCTCCGAGATTGTCCACATGAAGCCAACAGATCAAAGCTTTAGTTATCCTAGTAGAATTCTATCCAAGAGAAAAGGAAGAGGGAGAAAGGGTTGGGTGGCTCCAGGAACTGTGCTAGTAGCAATCCTATCAGTGATTAGGGTTCTAGTTAGGCAGAAAAAGTGTCTCATAAAACCCTAGGGCTTCTCCATGCAATCCTTTTATAGAGGTAGGCTCCTATTTCAATTAGGAGAGCTTATCTCACAAGTTTTTCATAATTGCAATTAGGTCCCCCCATTAAGGCCCCTCTTAGTGATTACACCCTTCATATTTTGTTTGCATTTTGCCCCTTTAATGTGTTTGACCTTTTAGGTTCCTATAGGCAGTGGCAAATGATGCCAAACTCCTTCGGCATCCCAGATTGAACTCTTTCCATCTGAATTGAAACAAAACTCATCTAATTCTCCCTTGAATGTGATAATTGACCATTACTCGTAGGGGTTCCACAAATCATGAGCGACACCTAGTAGCATGTCATGACCACCCTATAGTTTGAATTTGGTAGATTGAACCTTTCCATCTACAATTATCATGCAGTCAGATCCTTCTATCATACAATTTCCCGAAAGAGTAAAGGGCCGTGGTGAATATTCCAAACCCTATTGGCTCAACCATATGTCCCACTGAATTGATGATGACTCGTATGGGTGACACTTGGAACTCTTTCCATAAACCATACTGCCTTGGCCAAGGATTACTTGAGTTACATCAATCTCAACTGCGTAGGGCATTCTCCCTCATGGAGAGTGATAGATTCCATTTTGTGCATTCATATACCTCCATGCATAAGACATTATATCCAACAAGTGCATGCTTAAATCCTTTGGTTAGGGCATAAGTGTTTGCACCATCAAACCATAGCATCTCATACACAAGATATTAATGATGCTTCAGGTGTAAGGGTCATATACATGACTGTGATGATAGAAATAGTTATTGACAATGGATTCCATGTAATTGTTCTACTAATGGATCAAGTTCAGTGAACTTGTTCTCTAGCAAGCACCTACATATTTGCTTTAGTGTCTCCATCCAAGTGACTTGAGATTCATCACTCCATAAGACAAGCATAATGTGTTAGTCCATACTGATAAAAAAAGTATGTGTCAATCCATCTGGATTATCAAAGCCTTTTGATAATCCTATGACTAAGAACCATTTTAGGATCTTGTACCAATGACGGATGTATCTCAAATTCTTAATACACTTAAGAATATATCAACTTGACAAAGATTTTATGGACTATTCATGTAATTATAAATACAAAATCCATGAATAAAAACTGCCCAATTTGTATTGAAGTATGAATTGTACAAGATTGCCCTTTTAAAGTATCACCAGATTGGTTTTAGGGCATATGACTAACATTAGTAACATTAATGATTTAATTTATTCATTTGTTCTCTTTTACCTGATTGTTCTCTTTTGTCTTTTTAATGAAATAACCTATAGAAAAGGTTGTATGCAACGCATTTTTTTTTATGGAAAATGGTTAGGTCCAATGTTTTCTCTATTCGTGTTGGCATTCTTCTCTGTGAAGCTTCTCAAACTTAGGCAGCTTGCTTTTGCAGATCTTCAGCAGTTGCTGCATCTGTTGCAGTTCACAGTATTGCTGTTGAAGAAGATGATGTGGATTCCTCTTCAAGTGCTGAAGAGAAGTATGAAGCAGATGAGGTTGATAAGAGTTCGGTATGTATTCTCTTCTTAAACTGCTTCATTTGATGGTTCCTAAAAGTAGATCATAGCAGGTGTGGGCTTTCTTTGTCCCAAGTTTGTAGGTTAAATTCCCTGCTAACCAATATGTTGAGATTGATCAACATTATGCTCGTAAATCATGTTACTTTTGGCCCTTTTTGTTGTTTCTCAATTCTGCTTTTCAATGTCTTTTATGAATCTATTTCCTTTTTGCAAGTCATCGCTCTCTCAACTTGTCTTTTTGCCCATTTTTTTCTTTCAAGGAAAATGAAGAAAATGTCCAAGGAAAAGGTCGCAAAAGAGCTGCTTCAAGGGGAAGGGCTAGGGGTTCTACTTCATCATTGAAACGGGGAAGGAAATCAGATAATTCTTCAATTCACAAAATGTTCATGAACCAAGATGATGACGATGATGATGATGATGATGATGATGACATTGCAAACAGGATGAAGAAGACTCAACCTCGGGTGAGTGGTGTTCCTTTATTGGTTTGGCATTAACATCCTCTTGATGGTATATTGCATGAACTTTCCTTAAGTTTAAGGCCAGTATTACTAACTTTTGTACATGGCATGGGTGTGGGTATCAAGTATTTAGGTTTCCACAAGTATCTATCATGTTAATCTCTAGAAATCAAGACATAGGAAACAACTTTGAGTATATTTTTCTTAATGATTGTAAATAAAATAATTAAAATAAACAAAATTGGAAAGTCAGAAGTATTGGCACCCTGTTGGGTGTGTCTTTTCCCAAGTCACCTTAAGGGTGCCAAGTGCCAACTTGACTTGGAACATCATCAAAATATTACAAGGAGTTTCTTCCCAATTGTTGGTAGTATTGGTTTTGGTATTATTTATGGTACTTGTATTTAACATGTCATTTGTAGGGCAGGTGTGCATCATCTTGATATGACTATTCATATAACACTGGTGACTCCTTGTCCTCCAAATCTTTCATTACAGTGTTTTTCACCATGCACTCTGGCCTTCTGGTAACAGATGTGTGGGGACCTATTGCTCTATCAGAGAACAAAGCTCTTATTTGAAACAAGATCCTTTTACAAAAGATAAATAGTAATGGCCTGCTCCAAAAACACTATTCTCTAAATAGTTTCAAAGAGAATTAATGGTTAGTTGCAATGTTGTTAGACTCAACTGGACAAAGAACTGTTTTGGTGACAATGTCACTGGTTGAATTTTTCAAATGTTTGACTTGTTCAAGTTAAAAATAGGGAAAATTCCTGATTAGTACCCTATACTTTGGGCCTAGTGACACTTTGGTCCCCGAACTTTAAAATGCGACAATTCAGTATCCAAACTTTCATAATGTGCCAATCCAGTACCTGCCATTAATAAGCCATTAAGTGGAAATTGAAAAGACACAAATGCCCTTCAAGTGTCATCTAATTCTCTTTATCAACCATCCAAACGTTAATAAAAAATGAACAGTCCCAAATCCTTTCCTCTTCTATTCAAGAAAGTTGGGGTCACCAGAATGCCCACTGAGACGTGATCCCAACTTTCTTGAATAGAAGAGGCAAGGATTTATGACTGTTCATTTTTTTATCAATGTTTGGATGGTTGATAAAGAGAATTAGATGACACTCGAAGGGCATCCGTGTCTTTTAAAATGCCACTTAACGGCTGGTTAACAAATTGATTAACAATAGGTACTGGATTGGCACATTATGAAAGTTCGGGTACTGAATTGTCACATTTTAAAGTTCAGGGACCAAAGTGTCACTAGGCCCAAAGTACAGGGTACTAATCGGGAAATTTCCCTTAAAAATATGAAAAGAATTGAACTCCACCAAAAACTAAAAAATGTGAAAGAATTTAAAAGAAATGAAAATGGTTCTAGAGTATCTTTTAAAGTTGTTTTACATCAAAATAAACTTAAAATAGTAAAGATTTGAAAGTATAAAACATATTTATACATATAAATAGGGTAAGCCTGAGCAAGTCAACATTTCTAAGAACCAAGCAACCAAAAAAAACTGCTGTTCTCAGTTCCGGCAAGCATGAGAACTCAGGTTCGAGTTTGATAGTGGCCACTTCACGTGAAAATAAAAAGGCTGAAGGTTAGGATTATATCCAGTCTATCCCTCCCAAGTCCCAAGGCCCCATATAGCTGGAACCAACATTGGGTAACAGCCTTTTCTTGTTGTCGGTTCTGGTGGTCCAAATGTCAGGTATGGTTTGTGTCTGACAACATAGCACATTAATGATAAGAGTATTGAGAAAAAATGATGTACAAGTTGGACATTGGATTAGGACTGAAAAATGGTATTCATTTGTCTGAATTTGTATTTAATCTGAATCTGATTCTCTTATAATTAGATTGAATATGGATCTACCTCAATCCAATCTGATAATGTTTAAAATTTGCATAAAAATTAATATTTATTGAATGTTGTACGTTTACCAAGGAGTCGTAAATTCAAGTCTCATAAAAATTATTTTTAAGTGATTTTGTTCATGATATAAAATATCCAATTCAATCTGATTGCCTTGCAACCCTACATTAGAAGCAAGCATGAGCCATTGCAAAGCTATGCAAGCTGTTTACTGTACAAGCTTCTTACGACAATCAGGATTTGCTGTATATTCCATTCTTATTAATTCCACATGGTTAAGCAGCTTCTCCAACTATTGTCATTATGTTTAAGGATAATGGAAAATAGATGGATGCCTTTTCATCCATTGTCAGGTGGCTAGGAAATTTAAAGTTTCTTTACGGTTTTTTTTGGTGCGTGTGTGTGTGTAGGGCTCAATGGATTGGGGCCCCTTTGGAAAGCAAGGTCATGTTTGTTGGTTGGAAGTCTTCCTTATTTGCTATTTCTTGGGAGATGGTGGAAAGAAATAAATAGAAGAATCATTGAACTGATGCTTACACCAAGATCCACTGTAGTGAACCCCACAAGGTTTGCATGTTCTTCATGGTTTAGAACCGTTCACTGGTTTTAAATTAAGTGTTTTTTTGGCACCGAACTTTAGAATTAAACAGACTGCTATTGTCCCTGTATTTACAGGTAACTCGGAATTATGGTGCTCTAAGGAGATGATCACATCAAAGAGTTCTCTTGTTCATCCTGGAATGCTGGTTGGTCACGGCTGAATCACCTTATAAGAAGCCATCTGTTTAGGTTTCCTAGATTCCTAAGAACATGGCAAACGATATATCAAGCAGCCAAACTCTTTTTGCAGTTGGTAGAAAATTCACAGAATACACTGATCTGCATTTTAAGTTTAGAGCTTCATTTGAATGTTCACCTGGCAGGGATGCCGTGTGTACAGTATTTGCCTTTGCCATTCCAAATTATAGCACTATAAATGGTATCCCTTTGTCCAAATTCGATCTGTTAATTGGATCAAATATGCATCTATCCCAATTCAATTCAATATGATCTGACTGGGTAATATATGTTTATATCTACGTAAAATTAATATATGTTTACCAAGTTATAAGTTCAAATCTACGTAAAATTAATATATGCATATATGTAACGATTCAGCAGTAAATCTGATTTTCCTGAATTTGGATGTTAGATCTTGCATATGATTAACAATTGGATTGGATGTGGGTTTAATGCCATCCAATCTGATTAAAATCCCAGTGCAATTAAAAACTAGGGTAAATTACAAAGACCCTCTCCCCCCTGTCCATGAGACAAAAACCCCCTTTCGTTAGCTTTCCATTGAAATCTGCCGTTGCAATATTTTTTAATTTCCATACCACCCTTATAATAACTATTAATTGGGAGAAAAACACTGTTCATCTTCTCTGACCTCATGATACACGAACAGCAGTGGTGGTAGTTGTTGCAGCAGCAGTGGACTTCCGTTGAAGTCCCTCTCTCTCTCTTTCCTGATCTCTCTTCCCTTTCCCTTTTCTCGCCTTTCCCTTCTTTCCAATTTCCTCTGTTTTCCGTTTCTTGCAGATGGAGAATAGACAACAGAAGGATGGAGAACAGACAGGATTTACTTGCCAGCGTTTCATGAGATCTTCTAGTTCTAATCGTTTATACACAATTGACTCACTTTCTGGGTCATATTTATGCAATATTTGTTGCTTGTTGAAAGAAAAGTTGATATATTTGCATACCTTTCTCCCCGACCTGGTCCTAGAAATGTTTAGAGTGCTCTTATCTTGAGGCACTGTCAGTGAGATTCATAAATGAACTCGTCCATGGTATAAGTGGCTCTATAAACCACATCCCTGATTTCTCTAAGGAAAATCTTCAAGCATGTCATTTGCATCTCCTTTGCAACACAAGCTATTTGATAAATCAGTTGGAGTATTTTGCAGAGGTCTCTCAGTCATCTTCAATGCCCCAACTCAACCCAAAATCAATCAACAAAATGGAGCACAACTTGTTGACACGTTTGCAAGGAGGATCAACTCTCAGTTTGGTTGGGTCAAACAGGATGTAAATGGGGTGGCGGATGGATGAAGGAGAAGGAGAAGCGTGAAATCTAACTAGAAATCGAAAATGGATTATGCCATTTTACTTACTTGCCTATTGCCATACTTGGCTATTGACGATTGATTAAATAGAAAATGGATTATGCCCCCGGAACCCAAAACCACATATGATCATCTCTCTCTGAGACAACCAACAAAGCTAAAGCTCGATGCATCAATGGGTCTTGCGGACAAAAGAATTCCAACTCAGAAGAACCATTAAAGCGAAAGAGTTAAAAAAGCCAAGAGTCTTGAGCAAAGTAGAGATCCATGAATTTATTACTTAAGATAGAGAGAAGAGCCATAAAAGAGTGTAAAAACAAGCAGATAAGGAAAAACAGTACTCTAGGTGCAGCGCCACTCATTTCTGTTGCAGGCTTTGGAGGGCCCATCTCCTTCTCTCTCCTCTCTCTTCCTGGTATCCCTTACCTTCCCCCAACTCTCATTATCTGCTTCTCTGTAATCATCACAACCCAAGTATCTGGAATCTCCCTGTTCAAACCGCTGTTCATGGTAGATGTTTACAGCACCAATTTTCAGAGAAAGGCTTTACATTTTTTAGCTCTTTTAATTAGAAAACAAGCCAATGCGGTGAGAAAGACAAAGAGAAGAGAGTGAGTAGCAGTAGCTGTACTTTTGGTAAGGATGAGAAAGAGGGAGATAGAGAGAGAAATGGAGGAATGATGTAAGCAAACACCAAATTACTGTGTTCTCCATCCTTCTACTGTCTGTTCTCCATCTGCAAGGAACGGAAAACAGAGAGATCGGGGGAGAGAGAAAGAGAGGGAGAGAGAGAGGGAGGACTTTAAGGGAAGTTCGCCACCACTGCAACAGCTACCACCGCTGCTGTTTAACGGAAGGGGGTCTTTATCTCATGGTCATAGTACGGGGGGGCTTTTGTAATTTACCCTAAAAATTATCATTTTATGTACATATATAATAAAATTATGCATATGTACAAGGTTCAAATTATCAGAAACACAAGACATGATAAGGCAATTTTAAGAGATATACATGGTACACTTTAGATATGCATGGATATGGACGAAAAATCAAAATACACATGAATACACCAGTAAACTCAAATGAATCTTATATATATATATATCATTAATAATAGATATAAATTTTATATAATTACAAATGAATTATTTAAACAAAAGAACTGTAATTCAAGGGTTTATATAGATTGTGAGATATCGGGACACATTTGGTAACCATTGAAGAGTATATATATAGATATAATTTGTGTTAATATTAATTAGTATATAAATTTTAATATTTATTGCCAAAAGTCCCTTAAGAATAAAAAATTACTTAAGAATAAAAATACATATGTTTATAACAAGCAAGTATAATGTGACTTAATGATGGATTTGTGGTTGTCACATGCTATTAACCATGGTTTGAATTTTTTTATTTGTAGTTTCAATATATAGTTTAAGACTTTAAAGTGTATTTAATGACATTCTTTAAATTCAAATTCAAATTTGAATATTGATTAAAATACATGTAGCATTAAATATAAGAATTATTGAAAGAGTGACAGTAATTATTGGAGTTATTAGGAATAATTATAAAAAGGGTAATTGTTTAAAACCCACCATCATCATTATCAGTGAGATAATGATAACTTGACTAATGGATATCTTTAATTTACTATTTTACCTTTCATTATATTCGGTCCATTTTACCCCAATCTGACTCGGCCAGTGAGGTGATCGTCGGAGTTTTAGACACAGGTGATACCTTCGGCACAACCAGAGTGGCCACTGGATTCATAGCCACGACAGCGTGAGTACCAAAGTTGGCGGCGGCCGGACTGGGCCAGCACTCGCCATGGCACTCTCTGGTGCCATACCTCTTTGGGGGCTTGGCGGTGAGAGGAATGGATGCTGTACCTCTTTGGCGATGAGAGGGATGAAGAGGGACGAGAAGGCGGTGAAAGGGATGCAGAGGGATGTCGTACCTCTTTTGCTATACTGATCCTTGCTTGTTCCTACTGGAAACTCTCTGGGCAGTTGGAAGGGGGAGAAGGCAGTGAGAGGGATGCAGAGAACGAGGACGAGAAGGCTCACGACGCCATCAAAATTCCAATTTCTGGTACGGTTCTAGCTTTTAAAAACTACTAAAAATAGAAACTTATATGTTCATTTAACTACAGTTGTAGTTGCAGTTGCAGTCACCTCAACCCAGTAAAGTGAAACCTAGTAAACCAACCAATGCAGTTGCAGTCACCGCAAAGTGAAACCCAGAAAAAAAGAAAGGGTAAACATCTCTTTGTATACACCGTGACCCATCAACTTGTTCATTTAACTCATACCAATGGTCCAGAGAAACGTATGGACGTTACAGTTCGGATCTAAAGCAAATCAGTAGAAGAATTCTGGCAAAAATTTTTGAGTTACAAACAGAAAACCTTTTCTCCGATATCATTTCTCTCGTCCCTTTTCTCCAATTTTTAACTCTATAAAAAGAAGGAAACAGATTAAAATCTTTCTTCTAATGGATTTGCTCTTGCTTCCATCCCGAGAGAGAAGAAAATCAACCAGAACAATACATTAATTGAATGCGCTCAATTGTCAACTACCCTCCTTCTTACTCTGCTCATCTTTCTGCATATATCACGAAAGGCCTGCTCACTAACGTACTATCACGTCACGAAGCAGCTCCTCTCACTCTGCAACGATCCAATATTTCAACCCTTCCCCACAAACTCGCCGGTGACGGTGACGGTGACGGTACTCTCTCAATCCCATTAGTGTGGGTCGAATCAGCAAATCCTGTTATATGATGTGACTGCATGTTATTGCATGATGTAGCTCGAGGCTACGTACTTGTGTAGTAGCTGATTCGATGGTCCTAAAGTATGGGCTTCACGATGAGGTCTGCAAAAAGAGGCGTACATACTTTGCAAATTCTTCAGGTTTCCAATGAGGGTGAAATCTCACTACCAACCATTCAGTCGGGCAGATTTATCTCTTAGAGTGAATAATTGTAGAAGCCCAACTTCGACGACAAGGGACTCAGACCCGTCCCCAATAGTTGGAAAGGCGAGTGTGAGGTTGGTAAGAATTTTAACACGTCCAATTGCAACCGGAAACTAATCGTCCCCAGTAGTTGGAAAGGCGAGTGTGCTGTCGGAGCATTTGCGGCTATGGAGCAAGGAGTACTTGTCTCTTGCTCTGCCGGAAACACCGGTCCGAATTCTTACAGCTTGTCGAATGTAGCTCCTTGGATAACTACCGTAGGTGTGGGCACATTGGACCATGACTTCCCGGCTTACGTTAGCCTTGGAAACGGGAAAAACTTCTCCGGCGTGACGCTTTATAGTGGAAAACCGTTTCCAGATTCCTTAACGGAGTTCGTCTACGTTGGTAACGCGACCAATATTACAAACGAGAATCTTTGCATGGTTGGTACTTTAATACCGGAGAAGGTCACCGGAAAGATCGTATTGTGTGATCGAGGGATTAATGCTAGAGTTCAAAAGGGCTTCATAGTGAAACAAGCCGATGGCGCAGACATGATTTTAGCGAAGTCAGAAACGAGCTCGACACCATTCAGGGGCAGCTTAGTCATGAAACATGCATTTAGCTCGACACCGTTCAGGGGCAGTTTAGTCATTGAACTTTAACGGTATGGTGAGTTTTCGAAGTGATGACCTTATAGAAATTATTAGAGAAAAAATGAATAACATTAAATATTAAATAATATTAAAAAAAGAAATTGTCTAAAATTCACCATCACTTTTCATAAATTACCATTTTTTACCGTTTGTTATATTCCACTGATTCTGCTTCAGTTTCCTCTCTCTCTCTTCGTTCATCAAGCATCAGCTACCTTCTCAACTGCTGCAGCCTCAACATTTGTCCCCAACTTAGCTCCTTAGCTTTTACAGCTGCCTTGATTGCATCCTCCGCAAGCATGCTGCAATGT